TGGCCACCTGTGTCGGAATGAGTGTGCATTTTGGTCAGTATAAAAGCCCAAGCCTCATGTGATGTCGGGGAGGCAGAGCCTCTGCAGGGATGCCTGCTAAGGTTGAGCCTGCCACCTCGCACTGCGATGGTGCTTCTCGGAGCTGGTTTCTTGTTAGTCTCCACAGGGTCCTTGTACCACGCTCTGTACGTGGGATTGTGTAGTGGAAGTAATGATTGTTGGGATTTTGTGCTTCAAATGTTGTAGTTGTGTGGAGTGTGCTTGTGGGATCCCATATATATGTGTGTGTGTGTGTGTTGAGGGCAGACAGTGTTCTGTGTATTTTTTTTCTTGTTGGGTTCATGTAAAAGTTTTTAATGGGTAGCAGTTTAACATTTCGGGCAAGAAAGGGTTAATGCAAAAGTGCGGTTACCGGCAGGTATTTATGGTTGCTGCTGAAGCAGGCAGGCATTTGTAGCCGTGCAAAGCAGGGTGAGCGACTTTGGGAAAACAAAAACAACAACAACAACAACAAAAAAGTATTTGGTGGGAGTTCAGTCCCCATGTTCAAAAATAGCTGCCCTCCGATTCGGCTCCCAGTGCTCCACCGGATGCTCCCAGTGCTCCAGGATGGACACCAGAGCCGAGGAGAAAAAAAACAAAACAAAACAAAACAAAACCAAGCTTAATATGTTTAGAGTAACCTGGGGATGAATCCAAGACTTGGAGGAACAGACAGACTGGTTGAAACAAGAACTGCTAACTGAAAAAGCGAGAGGGGTAGTGCAACCACAAGCCTTACGAGCCGTCACCTAAGCAGCATCAGGGTGGCAGAAAAAAAAAAAAAATAAAAAAAGAGGCAATGATGTGGCAAACTCCTCGTTTAACCTGTCTGCTTCTCAAGAACTGATAACTTGGAGGAGGGAGTATATTTGTGTCCTCCTGCCTACAGGTCCATGGCGACTGCCTGCAAAGTTTGTCAAGCCTTGCCATAAGCTGGACAAGCAAATGGAGGAACCTGATGCCTCAGCTGCAGGAGCTGAATGTGAATACCCCAAGCAGAATGAGATAGAGGAAGAGAAAAACCAATGATTGCTAAACATCATTTGGGGGCAACTGAAAAGTAACAGCTTGAATATGTGTGCTTGTAAAGTAGCTATTTTTAGAGGCTTTGATTCTCTGTATGAAACCACCTGTATTTACTAGCCAGTTGCTGATAAGAAACTACACCTTGTATTATATGGATTTGTCACTTGTAAAAGAGATGTTACGAGTATGCAAATTTGTAGTAGCTGCTAGAAAATGCTAAAGCAAAAGATAGAAATATTCTAATACAATGGTAGTGTTATAAAGCAGGTAATGGAACAAATTAAGAGGGCGGAGAATTCCACTGGTAAGAAATTTCTTTGGCTAGTTCCTTGCTGCCATCAGCATCTTCAACATGCTGCTGCACCCTGTAATAGTTACTCTGGTAATGTAAATCTGTGTGTGTGCCTTGCCGTAATAACAGCTTGTTATTGGATGAAGCAGGTGAAACTGCATTGACAACAAGGTGCAAGGACTGAGACTGACCAAATGCCTGCTACCACAATCAAGGGCAAGACTGGGTTGGCCTCTCTGTTTGCCACCAAGAAGAACCTTTAGCTCCGCTGCTGGCTGCAACCCAGCAGGCGTGGAGCAGTGGGGACACATGCCATGCCAGACCTTGATGTGAAGGATGGCCTCCCTTGTTATCAGAGAGCCAATCGTGTTACATGAATATCGGCAGTGAGTTACTCTCTATATACAAGGAGCTGCAACAACTCAAAGACAACTTGCACAAATTAAAAGAAGGTGACTCATGGGACCTCACCTCCTGGTTAAGATCACTGGGACTAGGGATTACACTGGCTAAGCAGTATTTTAAGTCTTTTTTGCCTGTATGTATCTTGCTTTTGCTTATCTTGATTTGTTTGCCTTGTATTATTCAATGTATTCAGCAAAGCCTTATGAAAATTGTAACAAATACGCTTGAAAAAGAGAAAGGGGGAATTGTGGAAGCGTGGTTGGCAGGCAAGGGTTACGTTCCCGTGGCTGAACTTGGCCGGGACCAGTTTTGTAAGAGTCGGTAAGAAACCCAGCTGAGAAGAAACACCAGCTGTGCAGGGGGATAAACTGACCTTGTAGTTAACGAGTATCTGGAAGGGAGGAATAAGGAGGTTAGAAAACGGGATGTGCCTGTAAATAATAAAACCACAAAAGTTTCCCAAGAATATGTGTGAATAACAGCCTAGCTCTAATATAAACCCCAGGCTTAAGCAGAATAAACGGATCACTTCTATCAATCATATTGGTTGTGCTGTGTTCCCTCCGCATCGCGACGACATAAAGTCTCCGACAAATTGGCGCCCAAACAAGGGACTTAGACCCAGGCGAGACAAAGAAACCCAGGTACCCGTAGAAGCTGGGATCGACGCGAGTGGAGCGGGGAAGCACCGGATAAGCAGCATCCGGAGGGTCAAAGGCACCGATCTTGCTGGACAAGAATATCGAGTCGCCTCGAGGACCTGGAGGAGAGGAGCCGGTTCACCGGTAGAGGAGCCTCTGCCTTCGCCGCCCGCTAATTTGGCTGTCTGTGTGGTAAGCTGCATTGGCGCCAAAGCTGTGTAACTCGTGAAAAATATAAAAAGCTAGCTAAACAGCACTGTGAAAATATAAAGAGCTCTGTAAAACTGTGTAAATGTAAAAAAGCGCTGTAAGGATGTAAAGAGCTCAGTAAAACTGTGTAAATATAAAAGTGCTGCAAGTGTAAATATAAAAAGCGCTAGAGCCCTGCAAAGCTGTGTAAGAAAATAAGAAGCTGTGAGGAATATAAAAATGGATGTGGAAAGACAGGCAGCCTATGATTTATTTAAATGCTTCTTAGAGAAGCGAGGTATAGGGAAAGAAATAGACTTAGGGAAAGAGTTTACCGCCCTTCTCGATTATGCACCGCAGAAGCCACCTCGGCATAAGGGGGAAGATAAAGTGAAACAGTGCTTACGTCCGAAAGTACAATTAGAAAGTGCAAACGCGGTCACCTTCGACCCAGAGAAAGAAGACCCCGAATCGGAATTGGAACCAGACCCAGTCTCCGGCAGAACCGGACTTGTACCCTTCCCTTCCTGATCCCGACTCAGACTCAGACAGTTCAGACAGTTCGGCTCGTCGGCAGATGCGATCCAGCCTCAGTGATGGTCAACTGCGACAGCTGCTGAAGAAATTAAAGTACTGGAGACAAAAGAAACCTTCGAACCCTCTGCCCCACCTTCCTACAATCCATTAGTAAAGAAAGGGGAGTGGGGTGTTGAGCATGGGGTACGGGATTACGGTAATAACCCTGCTAAACGTTATGATCAAAGATGCAATTGTTATGGGGAATTTTCGGCCATGGGTCCCTCGGCATTCCCGGTGTTTAACACTCCACAGGGGGGACAAGAGTGGGAGGCATTGGATTTAAAGGCAGTAAAGGAAACGCGTCAACCGGTAACATCCTTACAGGTTAAAATCATTTGATACTCGGGCAATTACTGCACATACTTTTTCTGCATATCTCTCAGCACCATATGATATCCATATCATAGCTCAATTGTTGCTTACTCCCCACCTTCGGATGTGATTTAAAGTGAGCACAGCAGAGGAAAAGGCTGGATACAAGGCTACTGCCTTTTGCTCCTGCTGTTAAACCCCTTTTACAATAGGTTAGAGCGATCGCGGGGGTGCTAAAGATATGAGATGTTATAATTGTGGACGGACGGGACATTGTAAAAAGAAACAGTGTACTGTAAAGAAAATTAGTTCAGCAGCCCGCCGCCCCCCCTTGTCAGTGATTGAATGAATTGAAATTTGATCTTAGGACATCCGTTTTAAGGATGTTTTCAGTCCTTCTTAAGGTGAAGGGAGGAACCTTTTTTGCGTTAAAGTAAAAGTTCTGCATCAAGACCTGCAGTGGAAAGGTCTGTGATGGACTGTGGACTTATATACAACTCATTTAATACATTCTCTCTGTGATACTCAAGTACTAGAAGGTGGTAAAAATAAGTATGTCCAGGCTTCTATCGACCTTTGGAGAGCTTTATAAATACTGCTGGCGACTTCTTCCAACATAGGCTGGCCACCTGTGTCGGAATGAGTGTGCATTTTGGTCGGTATAAATGCCCAAGGCTCATGCTATGTGGGGGAGGCAGAGCCTCTGCGGGGACGCCTGCTAAGGTTGAGCCTGCCACCTCGCACTGCGATGATGCTTTTTGGAGCTGGTTTTCCTGTTAGGCTCCACAGGGTCCTTGTGCCACCTTCTGTATGTGGGATTGTGTAGTGGAAGTAATGACTGTTGGGATTTTGTGCTTCAAATATTGTAGTTGTGTGGACTGTGCTTGTGGGATCCCATATGTGTGTGTGTGTGTTAAGGGCAGACGGTGTTCTGTGTATTTTTTGTTGTTGGGTTCATGTAAATGTTTCTAATAGATAGTACTTTAACATTTCAGACAAGAAAGGGTTAACGCAAAAGTGAGGTTGCCGGCAGATATTTATGGTTGCTGCTGAAGCAGGCAGGCTGCTGTAGCTGCTGCCGGGCAGGCAGGCGTTTGTAGCCGAGTGAGCAACTTCAAAAAAAAAAAAAAAAAGGGTTATTTGATAAGAGTTCAGCAGTCCCCATGTTCAAAAGAAGCTGTTCTCCGATTCGGCTCCCGGAGCTCCACCGGTGGAAGGACCAGGATGGGCACCGGAGCTGAGGAGAGAAAAAAACCCAAAACAAAATAAAAGAAAACCAAGCTTAATATGTTTAAAGTAACCTGGGGATGAATCCAAGACTTGGAGGAACAGATAGATTGGTTGAAACAAGAACCGCTAACTGAAAAAGCGAGAGGGGTAGTGCAACCACAAGCCTTACGAGCCGTCACCTAAGCAGCATCAGGGTGGCAGATACAGAACCTATCTACTTCTCAAGAACTGATAACCTGGAGGAGGGGGTATATTTGTGTCCTCTTGCCTACAGGTCCATGGCCAATGCCTGCAAAGTTTGTCAAGACTTGACGTGAGCTGGACAGACAAATGGAGGAACCTGATGCCTCAGCTGCAGGAGCTGAATGTGAATACCCCAAGCAGAATGAGATAGAGGAAGAGAAAAAAACCAATGATTGCTAAACATCATTTGGGAGCAACTGAAAGGTAACAGCTTGAATATGTGTGTTTGTAAAGTAGCTATTGTTGGAAGCTTTGATTTTGTGTATGAAACCACCTGTATTTACTAGCCGGTTGCTGATAAGAAACTACACCTTGTATTATACGGATTTGTCACCTGTAAAAGAAATGTTAGAGTATGCAAATTTGTAGTAGCTGCTAGAAAATGCTAAAGCAAAAGCTAGAAATATTCTAATACAATGGTAGTGTTATAAAGCAGGTAAGGGAACAAATTAAGAGGGTGAGAGAATTCCACTGGTAAGAAATTTCTTTGGCTAGTCCCTTGCTGGCATCAGCATCTTCAATATGCTGCTGCACCCTGTAATAGTTACTCTGCTAATGTAAATCTGTGTGTGTGCCTTGCCATAATAACAACTTGTTATTGAATGAAGCAGGTGAAACTGCATTGACAACAAGGTGCAAGGACTGAGGCTGACCAAATGCCTGCTACCACAATCAAGGGCAAGACTGGATTGGCCTCTGTGTTTGCCACCAAGAAGAACCTTTAGCTCCGCTGCTGTCTGTAACCCAGCAGGCGTGGAGCGGTGGGGACACGTGCCATGCCAGACCTTGATGTGAAGGATGGCCCCCCCTGTTACCAGAGAGCCATACGTGTTGCATGAATCTCTCGGGCCATAGTATCTCTATATACAAGGAGCTGCAACAACTCAAAGACAACTTGCACAAATTAAAAGAAGGTGACTCATGGCACCTCACCTCCTGGTTAAGATCACTGGGACTAGGATCCTGGCTAAGCAGTATTTTAAGTCATTTTTTGCCTGTATGTATCTTGCTTTTGCTTATCTTGATTTGTTTGCCTTGTATTATTCAATGTATTCAGCAAAGCCTTATGAAAATTGTAACAAATACGCTTGAAAAAGAGAAAGGGGGAATTGTGGAAGCGTGGTTGGCAGGCAAGGGTTACGTTCCCGTGGCTGAACTTGGCCAGGGACCAGTTTTGTAAGAGTCGGTAAGAAACCCAGCTCAGTAAAAAACACCAGCTGTGCAGGGGGATAAACTGACCTTGTAGTTAACGAGTATCTGGAAGGGAGGAATAAGGAGGTTAGAAAACGGGATGTGCCTGTAAATAATAAAACCACAAAAGTTTCCCAAGAATATGTGTGAATAACAGCCTAGCTCTAATATAAACCCCAGGCTTAAGCAGAATAAACGGATCACTTCTATCAATCATATTGGTTGTGCTGTGTTCCCTCCGCATCGCGACGACATAAAGTCTCCGACAAATTGGCGCCCGAACAAGGGACTTAGACCCAGGCGAGACAAAGAAACCCAGGTACCCGTAGAAGCTGGGGTCGACGCGAGTGGAGCGGGGAAGCACCGGATAAGCAGCATCCGGAGGGTCAAAGGCACCGATCTTGCTGGACAAGAATATCGAGTCGCCTCGAGGACCTGGAGGAGAGGAGCCGGTTCACCGGTAGAGGAGCCTCTGCCTTCGCCGCCCGCTAATTTGGCTGTCTGTGGGGTAAGCTGCATTGGCGCCAAAGCTGTGTAACTCGTGAAAAATATAAAAAGCTAGCTAAACAGCACTGTGAAAATATAAAGAGCTCTGTAAAACTGTGTAAATGTAAAAAAGCACTGTAAGGATGTAAAGAGCTCAGTAAAACTGTGTAAATATAAAAGTGCTGCAAGTGTAAATATAAAAAGCGCTAGAGCCCTGCAAAGCTGTGTAAGAAAATAAGAAGCTGTGAGGAATATAAAAATGGATGTGGAAAGACAGGCAGCCTATGATTTATTTAAATGCTTCTTAGAGAAGCGAGGTATAGGGAAAGAAATAGACTTAGGGAAAGAGTTTACCGCCCTTCTCGATTATGCACCGCAGAAGCCACCTCGGCATAAGGGGGAAGATAAAGTGAAACAGTGCTTACGTCCGAAAGTACAATTAGAAAGTGCAACGCGGTCACCTCGACCCAGAGAAAGAGAGCCCGAATCGGAATTGGAACCAGACCCAGTCTCCGGCAGAACCGGACTTGTACCCTTCCCCTCCTGATCCCGACTCAGACTCAGACAGTTCAGACAGTTCGGCTCGTCGGCAGATGCGATCCAGCCTCAGTGATGGTGGACTGCGACAGCTGCTGGAAGAAAATTAAAGTATGGAGACAAAAAGAAACCTTCGAACCCTCTGCCCCACCCTCCTACAATCCATTAGTAAAGAAAGGGGAGTGGGGTGTTGAGCATGGGGTACGGGATTACGGTAATAACCCTGCTAAACGTTATGATCAAAGATGCAATTGTTATGGGGAATTTTCGGCCATGGGTCCCTCGGCATTCCCGGTGTTTAACACTCCACAGGGGGGAAAAGAGTGGGAGGCATTGGATTTAAAGGCAGTAAAGGAAGCGCGTCAACCGGTAACATCCTACAGGTTAAAATCATCGTATACTCGGGCAATTACTGCACATACTTTTTCTGCATATATCTCAGCACCATATGATATCCATATCATAGCTCAATTGTTGCTTACTCCCCACCTTCAGATGCGATTTAAAGTGAGCACAGCAGAGGAAAAGGCTGGATACAAGGCTACTGCCTTTGCTGCTGCTGTTAAACCCCTTTTACAATAAGGTTAGAGCGATCGCGGGGGTACTAAAGATATGAGATGTTATAATTGTGGACGGACGGGACATCGTAAAAAGAAACAGTGTACTGTAAAGAAAATTAGTTCAGCAGCCCGCCGCCCCCCCTTGTCAGTGATTGAATGAATTGAAATTTGATCTTAGGACATCCGTTTTATGGATGTTTTCAGTCCTTCTTAAGGTGAAGGGAGGAACCTTTTTTGCGTTAAAGTAAAAGTTCTGCATCAAGACCTGCAGTGGAAAGGTCTGTGATGGACTGTGGACTTATATACAACTCATTTAATACATTCTCTCTGGGATACTCAAGTACTAGAAGGTGGTAAAAATAAGTATGTCCAGGCTTCTATCGACCTTTGGAGACCTTTATAAATACTGCTGGCGACTTCTTCCAACATAGGCTGGCCACCTGTGTCGGAATGAGTGTGCATTTTGGTCGGTATAAATAACCAAGGCTCATGCTATGTGGGGGAGGCAGAGCCTCTGCGGGGGCGCCTGCTAAGGTTGAGCCTGCCACCTCGCACTGCGATGATGCTTTTTGGAGCTGGTTTTCCTGTTAGGCTCCACAGGGTTTTTGTGCCACCTTCTGTATGTGGGATTGTGTAGTGGAAGTAATGATTGTTGGGATTTTGTGCTCAAATATTGTAGTTGTGTGGACTGTGCTTAATGGGGATCCCATATGTGTGTGTGTGTTAAGGGACGCGTGCTCTGTGTATTTTTTGTTGTTGGGTTCATGTAAAAGCTCTAATAGATAGTACTTTAACATTTCAGACAAGAAAGGGTTAACGCAAAAGTGAGGTTGCCGGCAAGTGTGCTTGCAGCTGCTGAAGCAGGCAGGCTGCTGTAGCTGCTGCCGGGCAGGCAGGCGTTAGCCGAGTGAGCAACTTCAAAAAAAAAAAAAAAAAAACAGGGTTATTTGATGAGAGTTTAGTCCCCATGTTCAAAAACAGCTGCCCTCCAATTCAGCTCCCGGTGCTCCAGCGTTGGAAGGACCAGGATGGACACCAGAGCCGAGGAGAGAAAAAAAAAAACAAAACAAAATAAAACAAAACCAAGCTTAATATGTTTAAAGTAATCTGGGGATGAATCCAAGACTTGGAGGAACAGATAGACTGGTTGAAACAAGAACTGCTAACTGAAAAAGCGAGAGGGGTAGTGCAACCAAAAGCCTTACAAGCCGTCACCTAAGCAGCATCAGGGTGGCAGATACAGAACCTATCTACTTCTCAAGAACTGATAACCTGGAAAAGGGGGTATATTTGTGTCCTCCTCCCTACAGGTCCATGGCGACTGCCTGCAAAGTTTGTCAAGCCTTGCCATGAGCTAGACAGACAAATGGAGGAACCTGATGCCTCAGCTGCAGGAGGTGAACGTAAATACCCCAAGCAGAATGAGATAGAGGAAGAGAAAAAACAATGATTGCTAAACATCATTTTGGGGCAACTGAAAAGTAACATCTTGAATATGTGTGTTTGTAAAGTAGCTGTTGTTAGAGGCTTTGATTTTGTGTATGAAACCACCTGTATTTACTAGCCATTTGCTGATAAGAAACTACACCTTCTATTATATGGATTTGTCACCTGTAAAAGTAATGTTAGAGTATGCAAATTTGTAGTAGCTTCTAGAAAATGCTAAAGCAAAAGATAGAAATATTCTAATACAATGGTAGTGTTATAAAACAGGTAATGGAACAAATTAAGAGAGTGAGAGAATTCCACTGGTAAGAAATTTCTTTGGCTAGTCCCTCGCTGTCATCAGTATCTTCAACATGCTGCTGCACCCTGTAATAGTTACTCTGCTAATGCAAATCTGTGTGTGTGCCTTGCCGTAATAACAACTTGGTATTGAATGAAGCAGGTGAAACTGCATTGACAACAAGGTGCAAGGACTGAGGCTGACCAAATGCCTGGTACCACAGTCAAGGGCAAGACTGGGTTGGCCTCTGTGTTTGCCAGCAAGAAGAAACTCTAGCTCCGCTGCTGGCTGCAACCCAGCAGGCGTGGAGCGGTGGGGACACATGCCATGCCAGACCTTGATGTGAAGGATGTACTCCCCTGTTACCAGAGAGCCATACGTGTTGCATGAATCTCTCAGACCATATTAGCTCTATACACAAGGAGCTGCAACAACTCAAAGACAACTTGCACATATTAAAGGAAGGTGACTCTTGGGACCTCACCTCCTGGTTAAGATCACTGGGACTAGGATCTTAGCTAAGCAGTATTTTAAGCCACTTTTTGCCTGTATGTATCTTGCTTTTGTTCATCTTGATTTGTTTGCCTTCTATTATTCAATGTATTCAGCAAAGCCTTATGCAAATTGTAACAAATATGCTTGAAAAAGAAAAAGGGGGAATTGTGGAAACGTGGTTAGCAGACAAGGGTTATGTTCCCATGGCTGAACTTGGCGAGGGACCAGTTATGTAAAAGTCAGTAAGAAACCCAGCTCAGTAAAAAACACCAGCTGTGCAGGGGGGTAAAACTGACCTTGTAGTTAACGAGCATCTTGAAGGGAGGAATAAGGAGGTTAGAAAACGGGATGTGCCTATTGATAAAACCACAAAAGTTTCCCAAGAATATGTGTGAATAACAGCCTAGCTCTAATATAAACCCCAGGCTTAAGCAGAATAAACGGATCACTTCTATCAATCATATTGGTTGTGCTGTGTTCCCTCCGCATCGCGACGACATAAAATCTCCGACAAATTGGCGCCCGAACAAGGGACTTAGACCCAGGCGAGACAAAGAAACCCAGGTACCCGTAGAAGCTGGGGTCGACGCGAGTGGAGCGGGGAAGCACCGGATAAGCAGCATCCGGAGGGTCAAAGGCACCGATCTTGCTGGACAAGAATATCGAGTCGCCTCGAGGACCTGGAGGAGAGGAGCCGGTTCACCGGTAGAGGAGCCTCTGCCTTCGCCGCCCGCTAATTTGGCTGTCTGTGGGGTAAGCTGCATTGGCGCCAAAGCCGTGTAACTGGTGAAAAATAAAAAGCTAGCTAAAGAAGGATTTTCTCTTATAAAGAGCTCTGTAAAACTGTGTAAATGTAAAAAAGCGCTGTAAGGATGTAAAGAGCTCAGTAAAACTGTGTAAATATAAAAGCGGTGCAAGTGTAAATATAAAAAAGTGCTAGAGCTCTGTAAAGCTGTGTAAGAAAATAAGCTGGGAGGAATATAAAAATGGATGTGGAAAGACAGGCAGCCTATGATTTATTTAAATGCTTCTTAGAGAAGCGAGGTATAGGGAAAGAAATGGATTTAGGGAGCTTACCGCCCTCCTTGATTATGCACCGCAGAAGCCACCTCGGCATAAGGGGAGGATCAAAGTGAAACAGTGCTTACGTCCGAAAGTACAATTAGAAAGTGCCAAACGCGATAACCTCGACCCAGAGAAAGAAGACCCCCAAAAATAAAATGAATCCGACCCAGTCTCCGGCAGAACCGGACTTGTACCCTTCCCTTCCTGATCCCGACTCAGACAATTCAGACAGTTCAGCTCGTCAGAAGATGCGAACCAGCTTCAGTGATGGTCAACTGAGACAGCTGCTGAAGAAATTAAAGTATTGGAGACAAAAGAAACCTCCAAACCCTCTGCCCCACCCTCCTACAATCCAGTAGTAAAGAAAGGGGAGTGGGAGAGGGGGTGTTGGGCACGGGGTAGGGGATTACCGTAATAACCCTGCTGAAGGCTGGCGAGGGATGATCAAAGATGCAATTGTTATGGGGGAATTTTCGGCTACGGGTCATTGGCATTCCCGGTGTTTAACACTCCACAGGGGGGAAAGGAGTGGGAGGCATTGGATTTAAAGGCAGTAAAGGAGGCGCGTCAACCGGTAACATCCTACGGGTTAAATTCATCGTATACTTGGGCAATTACTGCACATACTTTTTCTGCATATCTCTCAGCACCATATGATATCCATATCATAGCTCAATTGTTGCTTACTCCCCACCTTCAGATGCGATTTAAAGTGAGCACAGCAGAGGAAAAGGCTGGATACAAGGCTACTGCCTTTGCTGCTGCTGTTAAACCCCTTTTACAATAAGGTTAGAGCGATCGTGGGGGTATTAAAGATATGAGATGTTATAATTGTGGACGGACGGGACATTGTAAAAAGAAACAGTGTACTGTAAGGAAAATTCATTAGAGCAGCCCGCCGCCCACCCTTGTCAGTGATTGAATGAATTGAGATTTGATCTTAGGACATCCGTTTTATGGATGTTTTCAGTCCTGCTTAAGGTGAAGGGAGCAACCTTTTTACGATAAAGTAAAAGTTCTGCATCAAGACCTGCAGTGGAAAGGTCTGTGATGGACTGTGGACTTATGATCCCATATACAACTCATGAAATACATTCTCTCTGTGATACTTATGTACTAGAAGCTGGTAAAAATAAGTATGTCCAGGTTTTTATAGACCTTTGGAGACCTTTATAAATACTGCTGGCTACTTCTTCCAAAATAGGCTGGCCACCTGTGTCGGAATGAGTGTGCATTTTGGTCAGTATAAAAGCCCAAGCCTCATGCAATGTGAGGGAGGCAGAGCCTCTGCGGGGACGCCCGCCAGGTTTAAGCCTGCCACCTCGCACTGTGATGATGCTTCTCGGAGCTGGTTTTCTTGTTAGTCTCCACAGGGTCCTTGTGCCACGTTCTGTACATGGGATTGTGTAGTGGAATTAATGATTGTTGGGATTTTGTGCTTCAAATATTGTAGTTGTGTGGACTGTGCTTGTGGGATCCCATACATGTATGTGTTTGTGTGTGTGTTGAGGGCAGACAGTGTTCTGTGTATTTTTTGTTGTTGGGTTAATGTAAAAGTTTCTAATAGATAGTAGTTTAACATTTCAGACAAGAAAGGGTTAATGCAAAAGTGAGGTTGCCCCGGCAGATATTTATGGTTGCTGCTGAAGCAGGCAGGCAGCTGTAGCTGCTGCCGGGCAGCCCGGCATTTGTAGCCGTGCAAAGCAGGGTGACTATAGCTGTAGCTGCTGCCGAGCAGGCCGGCGTTTGTAGCCCTGCAAAGCAGGGTGAGCAACTTCAAAAAAAAAACAAAACCAAAAAAAATGTTATTTGATAAAAGTTCAGTCCCCATGTTCAAAAGAAGCTGCTCTCTGATTCGGCTCCCGGTGCTCCACCGGTGGAAGGAGCAGGATGGACACCGGAGCTGAGGAGAGAAACAAAACAAAACAAAACCAAGCTTAATATGTTTAAAGTAACCTGGGGATGAATCCAAGACTTGGAGGAACAGATAGATTGGTTGAAACAAGAGCTGCTAACTGAAAAAGCGAGAGGGGTAGTGCAACCACAAGCCTTACAAGCCGTCACCTAAGCAGCATCAGGGTGGCAGATACAGAACCTATTTACTTCTCAAGAACTGATAACCTGGAAAAGGGGGTATATTTGTGTCCTCCTGCCTACAGGTCCATGGCGAATGCCTGCAAAGTTTGTCAAGCCTTGCCATGAGCTGGACAGACAAATGGAGGAACCTGATGTCTCAGCTGCAGGAGCTGAATGTGAATACCCCAAGCAGAATGAGATAGAGGAAGAGAAAAACCAATGATTGCTAAACATTATTTGGAAGCAACTGAAAAGTAACAGCTTGAATATGTGTGTTTGTAAAGTAGCTATTGTTAGAAGCTTTGATTTTGTGTATGAAACCACCTGTATTTACTAGTCAAATGCTAATAAGAAACTACACCTTGTATTATATGGATTTGTCACCTGTAAAAGAAATGTTAGAGTATGCAAATTTGTAGTAGCTGCTAGAAAATGCTAAAGCAAAAGATAGAAATATTCTAATACAATGGTAGTGTTATAAAACAGGTAATGGAACAAATTAAGAGGGTGAGAGAATTCCACTGGTAAGAAATTTCTTTGGCTAGTTCCTTGCTGGCATCAGCATCTTCAACATGCTGCTGCACCCTGTAATAGTTACTCTGCTAATGTAAATCTGTGTGTGTGCCTTGCCATAATAACAGCTTGGTATTGGATGAAGCAGGTGAAACTGCATTGACAACAAGGTGCAAGGACTGAGGCTGACCAAATGCCTGCTACCACAATCAAGGGCAAGACTGGGTTGGCCTCTGTGCCTGCCACCAAGAAGAACCTTTAGCTCCGCTGCTGGCTGCAACCCAGCAGGCGTGGAGCGGTGGGGACACATGCCATGCCAGACCTTGATGTGAAGGATGGCCTCCCCTGTTACCAGAGAGCCATACATGTTGCATGAATCTCTCAGGCCGTAGTAGCTCTATACACAAGGAGCTGCAACAACTCAAAGACAACTTGCACAAATTAAAAGAAGGCGACTTTTGGGACCTCACCTCTTGGTTAAGATCACTGGGACTAGGATCCTGGCTAAGCAGTATTTTAAGTCATTTTTTGCCTGTGTGTATCTTACTTTTGCTTATCTTGAGGAAATAACACAGTGGATGGATGATGGCAGAGCGGTGGATGTGGTCTACCTTGACTTCAGCAAAGCATTTGACGCAGTCTTCCACAGCATCCTCGCAGCTAAATTGAGGAAGTGTGGTCTGGATGATCAGGTAGTGAGGTGGACTGTGAACTGGCTGAAGGAGAGAAGCCAGAGAGTTGTAGTCTATGGGGCGGAGTCTAGTTGGAGGCCTGTATCTAGTGAAGTGCCTCAAGGGTCGGTACTGGGACCAGTATTATTTAATATATTCATCAACGATTTAGATGAGGGAATTGAGTGTACTATCAGCAAGTTTGCTGATGACACTAAGCTGGGAGGAGTGGCCGACACGCCAGAAGGCTGTGCTGCCATCCAGAGAGACCTGGACAGGCTGGAGAGTTGGGCAGGGAGTAACTTGATGAAATATAACAAGGGAAAGTGTAGAGTCCTGCATCTGGGCAGGAACAACCCCAGGTTCCAGTATAGGTTGGGGAACGACCTGTTAGAGAGCAGTGTAGGGGAGAGGGACCTGGGGGTCCTAGTGGACGACAGGGTGACCATGAGCCGACACTGTGCCCTTGTGGCCAAGAAGGCCAATGGCATCCTGGGGTGTATTAGAAGGGGGGTGGTTAGTAGGTCGAGAGAGGTTCTCCTTCCCCTCTACTCTGCCCTGGTGAGACCGCATCTGGAATATTGTGTCCAGTTCTGGGCCCCTCAGTTTAAGAAGGACAGGGACCTTATATATATATATAAATATATAAAGGGGGAGTGTCACGAGGATGGAGCCAGGCTCTTCTCAGTGGCAAACAATGATAGGACAAGGGGCAGTGGGTACAAATTGGAACACAAGAGGTTCCACTTAAACTTGAGAAGAAACTTCTTCTCAGTGAGGGTGACAGAACACTGGAACAGGCTGCCCAGGGAGGTTCTGGAGTCTCCTTCTCTGGAGACATTCAAAACCCGCCTGGACACGTTCCTGTGTAACCTTATCTAGGTGATCCTGCTCCAGCAGGGGGATTGGACTAGATGATCTTTTGAGGTCCCTTCCAATCTCTAACCTACTGTGATACTGTGATACTGTGATACTGTGATCTTGATTTGTTTGCCTTGTATCATTCAATGTATTCAGCAAAGCCTTATGAAAATTGTAACAAATATGCTTGAAAAATAAAAAGGGGGAATTGTGGAAGTGTGGTTGTCAGGCAAGGGTTAGGTTCCCATGGCTGAACTTGGCCAGGGACCAGATTTGTAAAAGTCAGTGAGAAAGCCAGCTCGGTAAAAAACACCAGCTGTGCAGGGGGGTAAACTGACCTTGTAGTTAACGAGTATCTTGAAGGGAGGAATAAGGAGGTTAGAAAACGGGATGTGCCTGTAAATAATAAAACCACAGAAGTATCCCAAGATTATGTGTGAGTAACAGCCTACCTCTATATAAACCCCAGGCTTAAGCAGAATAAACGGATCACTTCTATCAATCATATTGGTTGTGCTGTGTTCCCTCCGCATCGCGACGACATAAAGTCTCCAACACTTTATGTGTCCCACCACCTCCCTTGAGCTACTCCCAGCACTGTACAGCTGCTGAGGGACCTGTGTTTGGGCAGAAACCTGTGTGCATCTCGCCCAGCTAAAAAGTGGGTATTTCCCTCACTGGGCTGGCAGGGTGGGAGTGAGGAGCTTGGCATGAAAGAGAAACACCGTTGTTGAACGGCAGCTGCCTTTGGGAAGCTGCCCACAGATGCAGCCCACGACAGCCTGAAATGAGAGCACTTTGTAAAGAGAAATAAATTATCTGAGCAACCACTGTCAGGGAAAGGACATTTGCCATCTGAGTTAGCAGCTTTAGGGGAATGCACAGATCCTATTCTTCCACCTTGCAGGTTTCTGACACAGAGAACAGAAAACCCTATGCATTCCCCAGCTTGCTGGGCTGGAGATAGGAATATTCCCATTGCTCTGGTACCTACAAAATCCATCCCTAAGCCCAACAGTGTCTGTGGAATCTGTAACACAGGTTTGAAATACCTTCTGGGAAGCCACTTTAATGAATATCAAGACTATTCCAGGAGTACTTTTGTTCAGCTTTATTTTATAAAATGTACTTGAAAAGATTTTTGTAAGCTGCAACGCGGTTACAGTTAAATGCAACTACAGGTACTGTAGTCCACAAAAATCGTGCAGATATTTTCACTTGTAAAAGTAGAATTGATCTGTAAAGTCCATAATCCACTGTGGCTCAGAAGCCCATGGGTAGTTGACTTGCACAGTCCAGTTTAGATCCTGACTGTGGCTTACCAAAGACTGTCTGAAACCAGACACAGGACTCCAGTGCTGGTACATGGAGGCTGAAATCTGAGAAGCACCAGTGATGCTCAGTGGAGCAGCTTGTTTCTTAGGAGGAGTCTTACCTTTAACTTAAAAATGAGAGCTCTTTTGTGTCGTTTCCTATTTAGACCAGATGCATTCCTTCGCTTATCAGTGCTGCTTTGATGAGGCTGAGAACTACTCTTTTATAACATTAACTGACGACTTCCTGACTCTTAAGTAGCTGGTAAAGTGTAACTCTGTATTAAAAGGGTTTATTACTATTATAGGGTGTAGGGGGAGGAGGTGCAGTGATACAGTCTCTAACATCAGTGGCACTTCTGAGCTCAGCCTTCAGGAAATGGTTGTTGGTTTCCAGGTTTTATAACAATAATATAATAAAGCATTCAGCACCAGTATGTGAATTACATGTCCATGGCATGTTGCAGAGTAACCAGATGCAGGACTCCAGTGCTGGTACATGGAGGCTGAAATCTGAGAAAACACACTGGGTGGCTTCGAGACTGAGAGATTAATGAGGCTGCTGAAAGGTGAGTCCTGCTGGTGCTGGTACCCTGTGGAGCAGTTGATGCCATCAAGTGAATATCTGAATAGCCAATACAGGCTGCTAGGGCCAAAAATGTGGAAATGTATGATAATTCCACTCATGTCCATGTACAGGCAACATTTTGCTGGAACTGAGGTCGCATGCATTTCCTGTTTTTTTCCCACAGGTTAGTTTATCATATTTCATTGAGATAATCTTGATCAGGATGTATCAGGAAACCAGTAAATAAGCTGTCTGTCCAGTAAGGATCATAAAAGAGCCCATTTTGTTCTGAGTAAAATATCTGCAGCCATACCTCATCCTCCTGCTTAGAATATAGAGTCACCAGGAGAAAGACTGAACGTACAGCTGTGTTCTCCTATTCAGTCTGTCAATCTGCTCAGGTAAGATGCACCTTCAAAACACACTGGCCATCAGATCTGCTTTTATATCTCCACCTTGTCTCTGCACATTTTCTGCCTTTCTTGTGCAGTGACCAAATTCCTGATCTGTCTTTCACAATTTATTTTTTAGCAAGGTCTTTCCATCACAGGTCTTACCACTCTTCTATAAAACATTAGGAGTGATCAGATCAGTTATTTTGAAGGTATAGACATGTACTTTTTACTAGCTGTTAAAAGCTAAGCAGAAACCGCAGAAAGAAGAGGGTTCTTTAGCTGTGTGGCTTGTTTATTAGAAACTTTCACTGGGAACTTAGCAAGTATTTTCACCATTAAGCACAATCGCAGTCCAACGTAGAACACTGCACATGATTCAAAAATTATAAGGGTGATAAAAACCTCCCCCCAACAGTACTGCCATGTGTATGTTGTTCTTTACGACTCTTGAAAGACAAAAGCACACACTGAAGTCTTCTGAAAATAAAGTTTAATATAAATATAAAGATAACAGAATAAAAGACAAAGTTCTCTTAAAGTTCTAGACTAATTTCTGACGAGTACTGCCTTCTCAGTTATAGTTTGCATTTAAAAATAAACCCAGAAGATTGCTCTAGCCTGCTGAATGGAAGATATTATTAGCTTGATACCAGAAGTTGTGTTCTTGGGGAACATAGTACACAAACAGACATTAGCATGCAGGCTCATTTTCCCCTTCCACCTTAAAACACCATTAAAAACAAGTCTCTAAAAATATAATTTAAAACAGCACTATGAGACACAAGTTGTAAAAAATGTCCCAAGTCAGTAAAAGCATATTGCACATTTCATGTATTGCTGTCCCGAGAACCTTCAGAGAGAAGGCAACCCAAGGGTACTGCCTTCAACAAACTTACAGTAGGTTGCATATATCAAAACTAAAGGTTCACATTTGCAGAAGTCAATTTCTTGTAAAAATATACATTCCCAGAAAAGCCTCTACAGTTTTCTGAACCATGAGCCCTGTTTCAGTTGAGAAAGAACCCTCTGGATACATGACAGTAGGTGTGTGTCTCATTGCAAAGCTGCGACAGGATCTTCAATTTACCAGCTACATTTCCCAAGAGGATGCAAAGATGGTATTGAAAAAACTTGAGCGAGCACTGCAGTCAAACTCTCATTTCCCAGCAAAGTTAACCAGTTTCCCACCTTTGCCCCATTAACACCAGTTCTTCTGTCCCGAGCCAGAGCTACTGCCAGAAGTCATTGAGCCCAAAAGATAAAATAACTGAAGGCCGTGAACCTTTTAAGAGGTTTTCCAGGAGGATTTCTTCAAGTAACATTAAATCCCTGATAAAGCTCATGAACAGTTTTATTAACAATAGTCTCCAGTCTCAAAAGCAGCAGCAGCATGTTAAAGATGAAAGAGGTGATTTAAAGTTTTGTTTTTATTTCTAAAATACTTGAAGGCAGAGTGATGTTCTGTTCAGCAGCACCACGTTCAGATTCCAGGGGAATTTCAAGTCAAAAATGTATTTGATAGTCTTCTGGCCAGTTTTTCCTTTTTTCCTTTTAATCTAAAGTCTTACTCCTGAACTACCACTCCTGATGAAAGGAAATAGAGTGTTCTACATATAGATTTCTGCATAAACGAAGTTCACATTTAACTGATGCCAGTTCCGGTATATTTTTATTTTTAATTCAGGTACACACTTGTATAACAGAGTCTCTTCTTCAGCTTTTATTCATACCAACTTTTTTTCCTGTCAGTATTTACCAGTAAAATCACTGAAGTAACTACTGCCACAAACCCTGGAAATGCAGGGTCTGCTCTCTGTTCCAAATGCCACCTGCGTGGCAAAGGGTGCCCGGATGGGCAGAGCCTGGGCAGATGGCTGAAGGCTGTGCTGAGGAGCTGTGTAGCAGCGCAGGGAGCTGCCAGTGCTTCCAGCAAGTGGACCACTGGGCCTGTGGGCCTGCTGTAAAGATTCACGATAAGCTGAGCACAGATCTTGTACTGGCCACTGGAACTGGGAAAATGCAGCTGAATGCTGTGTTAAAGGGTGGTAACTAGATTGCTGGAAGAGAACTTGAGTAGTAGCTTGGTAACTCATATTTCCCACTGCTTCTTGTTCTCGATATTGAATTGTTTCTTGTGTCTTTACGTTACTGGTTTCATTGACGTCATTCTCATAATACCTGAAAGAAATTATAAGTAGGATTGATTAAAAAGAACTTCACAGAGGCTGCATATATCCTGAAGTGTTCACCAGCTACACTATCAGCTTTTTTTGCCCTAGGCGTATATTGTAACCCTAGTTGCTTTCACAATTAATTTCTAATTATCCTGCTGCAATCTTCACACACAACAGGCCTATAGATTATTTTGCATCTCAAGTATGTTTTTACTGATGGACTGGCTGTCTTGGAATCTTAAGTCCACAACACAGAAATTTGAAATAGTATTTGCAGAGTAAAGGGATAATGCAAATTCCTGTTGGACAGTAGAAAGAAACGTTTTCACACTTGTGGCTATCACGAGAATGATGATGCACTGCAACAAGTTGCCCTGAGAGGTTAGGAATTCTGTCCTTGGAAACAGCCAAAATTTGACTAGATAACATCCCAAGCTGTCTGATTTATCTTCAGTTGGCCCTGCTTTTAGTAGGAATTCAGAAGGTCCACCATCACTCCCAACCTAAATGGAAAACTTTAAAAGCTAAATAGAATGATTAAGACTGTATGTGCTCACATACCAGACCAGTATTGATACATCACAGTCATGTCCTTTACTAGAAAGGAAACAAAGAACAGTTCTGAAATGTCTCCTACTGTACTGTTGGAGATACACTGGTGTGTCTCTGGAGCAGGTGTATTGTGGGTACAATAAGAAAACAAAGGGGAAAAAAAAAATCTTTCATCAACCATCTCTAAAACCTTCCATCCAACCACACAGACAACCAGTAGAACATAATAAACATTAAATTGTGCACGCTGTTCTGCATTGTAATTATTGTTAAATACAATATTTAGTAAAAGTGACCTGATTTTTAATCTTTTATTCCTCTCCCCAAACTGAAGATGGAGACTACTAATGTAATATTGTACTATCTTAGTTCTAACCAAACAATTACTTAAAGAAAATAAAAAAGCATCTTAACATCTTCTTAAAAGCACAAACAGGTTTTGTTTCTTTCTTACATGAGCATCATCTCAATGCACTGGGCAAGATGTTCCAAGGAATAGCATGTTAGCCATTCAAGCTGCATTGTCCAGATAGGAGAAACCTGCAGACAGATACGTGAGGCACACACACTAGCTGCAGCAATCAGAGATGGACGAAAATGGAGGAAAGTGGGATCTACAAAAGAAAAACCAAACCCAAGAATTATACTCCTGCTCATCAGTGCAGTGAACCCAGTATACATAACAAAAAAGGACAAAATTACATCCACAACTTTGTTCCACACATCTCAAAGTATTAACTCATGACCAGAAAAAGCTTCTCAAAACTGGGTGAAGCTTTCCTGAAGATCTCTGTACTACCTGTTCATAACTATTATCAAGGCTTCAGTAAGTTTTTATTTCATAAAAAGCCACAAAATAGACTTTGCTGAAATTTGTAGACTGGTCTCAGCTGAGCCATAGTTTGGTACTGGCAATTACACACATATTAATATTGGTGTTGAACCCAGCCTATGAGGATGCTGTAGTTCACTGCCTTTCACATGGGCAGATACTGGAAGCAATGCTGCAAATAAAATCATGAAAAGTCCCATTATTCTAAACATGTCTTGCAGCACAGGACCCTGTAAAAAAAATCACTTCAAAAGATTCATATATTGAACTGCATATCGTATCTGCAACTGACAGTAGTTCACAGTCTGTGGCAGACCTAAACTTAGACCCCATTTCTGAGCGCCTCATCAATTAGTGTTCTAAGCTGAAGGAAAAACTTGATCCCACCTAGAGATTTCTGAAGGGACAAGACACTTGCACACAAACAAGGGTCACCTTCCATCTGCCATCTGAAATAACTGCAAAGAGAAACCATTTTGCACAGATAACTTTGTGCAATCCGCATTATGCCAAGTTTTAAAGCCTTTATCTCTTTCAGACTTTTGCCTTTTGCCTAATGGAAGATCATTCTAGCACAAAACTGCTCCTCCTACCTTGCACTGACAAATCAAGGAAATAATAGGCGTATGTCTCCAGAAGCTCTCTGACTTTGTTTGGTGAGGTGATTGGCCAGCCATAGTGAAGGTCATTCGCTCCAAAAGATACATAGAGGTAGTAGTCAATGTAGTGTGCTGGTGTTGGCATACAGAGGTTCCAGCCAAAGTTTTCCAAAAGCAGTCCTTCTATTTTAAACAAATCTTGCTTGCTTATACGGATAGTTTTGCTGACAATAACTGGAAGCAATCTGCTAAGGGGTATTCAATCAAGTGTGTAGAAAGCAAGCAGCATGGGGAAAATACAGCAAAGGAAGATCTAATATGGAGAGAAAACAGCTCCTTTGGGTATAAAAGCTAAACACACATGCTGCAAAAAGGAAGACATTAAAAACCCCTCGGCAACACCACCTTTGCCCTTGCTGCTTCACATTTTCTCTTTGTTCCTTCCTATCTTGGGGGGCCTCATTAACTAAGGTCACTGAATGGCGAGGAGAAGTACACTGTACCCAAGTGATTAACATAAATAATTCTTACAGGGTTAAGAGAAAGCATACATTTTCAGTCAAGACAGCTGAGCAAAGCTCCTTCCTCTAAACTGTATTTACCAGCCTACTGAAACAGCAGTAGCCTCTAGAATGACTCAATTTTCAGCAGTAAGTACAAAGTGCAGTTATGTTGTATAGAAAACCAAAATCTCACTCTATTTCATAAAAAGCATCCTCCTTTCATCAAAAGCATCCAATAGATCTAGTCCTGGGAATCAAATCTGCTATGAGAAATACAGCAACAGTGTTACTTTGCTACAAACTTAAAACAATAAAATCTTGTTAAAATTCACACTGTTACTTTACCAAGCTGAAAAAGACCTATCTACCAGACAGTTCCTTGTTCAAAAGTGAACAGCCTATCAATCCATGCCAGTTTTCCTCTAGGAAAAAATAAAGGTCTTAGAGAAGCATCACTCCTATCAAATGTACGCTGAAGAACTGCTTCATCCACTACAGCAGGCAAGTGGATGGAGCAGTCACAATGTAAATCTTGCTACACAGCTGCTGTTGAGACTGATTGCTACTGCTTGGGTAGATGATCTTCCTGGGTTTTTACATGGGCAGCAAACAAAGGCAGGAGATGCAGGCAATTTGTTTTATTACATTTTCAGAGTCCTTGAGAAGACCGAGGAACAAAAAAGACTGCCAATTTAAAGAGTCACTAAAGTGTAAGTACGTTTTGTCCCATACACAATTAAAATCAATCCCAAAGAAGGATAAACCAGTCAAACCCATCTAGCCCAGCATAAAGAAAAGACCTGTGGCTGCTTGCACAGCTAAAGGCCTACTTTTCTTTATTCCTACACTGTTACAGAAGGTGGTGAAACAAGCTTCTGAGACTCTCTCCCAGGCTGCAGTCAGACACAAACACAGCTTCTAAATGTCCTCTAAACAAGGCAAGGAAGAGACAGGCTATTTTACAGACAGCCTGCTTAATTCCTTCTTTCTGCAGTGTCTTTCATCTACAGTACCTAGTATACCACTTAGGTCAAAGCACCCGAGTTTTTAATGCCTTACTACAGTAAAGTTTAATTACTCAAGAAAATATTCTGCACATGTTATGTCTACAGGGAACTAGAAACAATAATTAAGAGTACAGACTAAGTTTTACACTCATCTATATTCTGTACTGACACCCACTATTATCTTTTATTGAAAAGAAGTAGCTCAGCTGTCTTCGTCACAACAGTTACCTACTTAAGAAAATGGGACAATAGAGAATGGATGAGAAAACACAGTCAAACAGGAAAGCTGCCTGATGTCTGACAAGAGCTCCACACAGTCAATGAGAAATTAGGCAATAAAGGATTACCCATGCCCTAAACTGAGCCCATTTAGCACAGACATCTTTTCTTGCTCTAACTGCTTTTACTGTCCTGAGTTAATTCAGCTGCTGAGAATCCACTGTCAGACTAAGGAACTGGGCAAAATAAAGCCAGGAAAACCATAACAAATACCCAAGTACTCTGTGAGGCAATGCAGCACTGGATGTGCTGAGCAGTAAACCACCTTTGCTTAAATCAATACATTTAAAAACTGTTTTCATGTCTCCATAGCAGCAGAACCCTCTTGAGGAAGAGGGGCCATAAGAACTAAAATTGCTGGAACATTCAGTGCCAATGAATGCTGAGATGTTGCTTTTATCAGGTACAGAAGCACCTGCTGCTGAAGGGGGTTAGCTCTTCAGGAAAGAAAGGAACAGGTTTTAATACCCAGCTAGGATTTTACAGCAACAAGCAAAAGCTGCACTGCTTTAACTGTACTGATACACCATAGCAGTACAGTCCCTGTATAGTACAGTTAGAAAACTCACAGAAAAAACAACTGCAGTTGTTTAAGACTTACTGTCCAGGTGCTTGCTTTCTCCCCAGTTTACTGCTCCTGCAGCTGGGCCATCTGAATGGATTGTGTCAGTGCATCTCATCTACTCTGGGGCAGCTGGTTTGCACAGCTTTGGGCAGGCAACTTGAGTCAAGCAGCACTAAAGCAGATGGGCTATCTTTACACAATCCCTTGTTCTAACAGGACACTTAGGGCTAGAGCACCTTAATATTGCTATCATTTTCTGTAATAAATTGCCCAGTGAAGATGCAGTTTAGAACTTTACAACCTGCTGCTGTTCAGCAGTGCCCCTCTACAAGGATCTGCCTTCTCAGCTGCCAGGTGAGGCAAACTGAAAGTTCCTCAATTCCCTTCAAAGTGTTAGTTAACCTAAATCAATCCACCTATTGACAGCATCAGACAGCTGATTTTGTCTGGAAAAAATAAATTGGAGCTTACTAAAAGCACTGGGGTGCTCTGGGGGAAAAGGAAAGTAGTAACATTTTTAGTCACTTACAGGAGCATTTATCCAGAGCCTGATGCAGAGACTGTGTCCTGGCTTCTGTGCAGGTGTATTGGTAACTATCCTGGCTCTAGATCCAGCTGGCTTGGCTGAAGACCACCAGTCCCAGCTGTCCAGCATTACTTTTCACCAAAAGCCAACATCTCTCCTTTTGAACAATTAAAATCACTGGACTTCACTAATGATCTTGCAGCAGCAGGAACCTACAACCTCTTATATTACCACAGTGGACCTCCAAAGGGGGTTCTCTGTCTCTAGTCATGTACCTAGCCAAAACATCCACATGAGCAGGTCTTTCTGTGTTACAGAAACATGTTCAGTTTAAGGTTCTGATTTAGATCATAAAGTTTCCCTTAGTGCAAGTGAAAGAGATGGGCTATTCTAAATACATTCTTAAAGTAACTGTGAGATCAATTTTTCCAGCAACTTTTCCTTCCCTCCCCCAGTAGCACTTAGTTCACTGTGAACAATTTTTACCATTCTTTTTCAGAACTGATTGAGAGGAAATAACAACCACTGATGACATTAGTATACTTCAAAGCTTTTATAGCTGTTCTGAGGAGCTAAACTATCTGGAAGGAATTGCCAGAAACCTTCTATTATTACGGTGTGCATGCATTGCAAAGAAACATACCTCTTCTGGCTAGTGGGCAACTGAATGCTATGAGGGACACACACCCATATTCCTCTCAACTGCAGCAAGTCCAGGCTGAACATTACTAGGCTGCTAGTGCAATTTGTTTGCAGCAGTGTTAACTTCTCAGTCCCTCCCAGTTATTACCAAAGTGGGAAACACTATCATCATCCAGTTTCCCTGGCTGGGGAAACTGCTGACCCAGTCAAAATGGGAAAAGTTAGAAATTAGCCCAGCTAACTAAAGGACATCTAGCAGAATGCTACATTCTCCATCATGACAGCACTGCTGTTGTATGCTATCAAAAACACACATGATGATGTGTGGTTGTGGTTGTGTTGTCATCACCATGTGATGTGTGTTGTCATCACCACTGTCATTGGTGATGACAATGTCCGGAGGTAAAGGAAAAGAGATGAGAGTTTGAAATCCTTTAGATCCAGAATAGAAGCAACAAGCTTCAAAGCAAAACACAAGTTTACAACAATTTATAAACTCAGGAATAGTCTTCAACTTGCATTTAGAAGTTTGCTGCTTCTATTTCAAAAGTTGTGTCTAAAAGCTTCTCTATTATGCCCCTCCCACCCCCAAAACAACCCACACTTACAGTCATTAGTGGGAATAAGTAATCTTGCCTCTAACTACACCTCATCTTGCTTGTGGCCTGCACACTAACCTTAACGACCTGGTTTTTTCTAAGGAAGCAATCAGGAAGAAAACCCAGAGTTTCTCAAAACGTGTTTATAACAATTACTCAAAGACAGTCTGTATTAAACAGTAATTTTGATATTAGGTATACACCACAACTATTATTGGGTTGTTTTTCCTCTCTACGGTAAAGGTGTATTTTTTTTCAGGAGTACAAGTCTCTTGCAACACAGCCTGCAGAGCACTGCTGCTGCAATCCTCTGCTGAAAAACCAGCCACTTCCTACAGTAATGTTTTGCAGGAAGGTCTAATTACTGCACTTGCACTAACAGGCAAGGAACTAGTTTTACTCTTCTTTGCTACAGTGAGAACTTTTAAGGTGACTTCATGCTGGTACTTCTGACTTACTCGGAATCTTTTACTCCAAAACATTAATTTTGAAACTAATAAATTAAACATAGGAATTCCCACTTATTGTAGTGGCTTTTCTTGACTTGCATCACTTTGAAGTACACATACCAAAAAAGAACATTAGGATGGCCCAGGCAGTAACAACAGAGCTTCATATGCTCCCAAAAGTCTCCAGGCTGAGCCCTACTAGCATTTTAAACCTTACCTATACAAGTTAATGAGGAGTTAATTTTGTGCAAAGCTGCTTTGGTTCAACTGTCAATGTTTTGTTTCTACATGTGGTAGGAAAGCTGCCTTTACAGTAGTTGATCTTTTTCCTTCCTGTAAGGGATCATTTTATTCCAACTCAAGATGTATACATGCTACTGCATTGCTCTGATCTTAGTTTTGGAAAGACTCTCACACTCTTTAGTTCACTAGACATAGGCTTGCTCTTTTAAGCAAACTGCCTTCCCCCTCAGCCCCAACAGGCAGAAGTTACAAAACATTTCCCTCTAGTATTATCATAGGGCAGTTTGTGAACTTCCTTTTCCTTCACAGTTGCATAGAGATGGCCTAAAGTTGCATTTTACTTCAGGTATTTACATAATGAAAGTCTTGACAGCTTTTTTGCTTCTTTTAAAATCCTTGAATATAGATGTGTAGTGCAAGTTATGCAGTTGAGCCAAGCTTATTAACAGACTGCTTTATGCCTTGATTTGGACTTCATTAGGCTTTACCCTAAGTAGGTGAAAGCTGTTAACACAGAGAAAACACAACATGATATATGAGGAAAACAACCATCTGCTCAAAAGAAAAAGCCTTAATAGACAGCAGCCAACTTACTTGCTAGGAGAAGACAGCCAAATGAAATTATGTACAGTTGCTTGGCAGTCATATCATAGCGATCCATGAAGAGGTCCAGTAGATAGATAGCAAGATGCCGGGCTGTGGGGCAGAGCTTGCAGTGGTTGCTGAGCAGAATCAAGATATCAACAAGGCATCGGCGCATCCCAATCTGTGGTGAACGAGCCTTGTACACAGGCAATTTAAGTTCCTATAGGGAAAAAAAATAGGAAGAAAGGTACTGAAACAGAAAGCATTTCAGTGTCTGAAATCCCAAACCAACACCCACCACCTGCTATGGCAAATGCTCAGCAGCTACAACACTGATTGACACAGAAATCAGGGCTGGATTACTGCATGTTTTGACAGTCAGTTAACTTCCAATACTTTGGTCATCCACACACTTTCCTCACCAGCATTAATCATGTGGTCAAACACTGTAGTTTGACCCAGGAACAACTTGCTGTTGCTTTCTACAGAACACCAAACTTCTTGGCCATCTTAAAGGATTCCTTTTTAACTTTGATCACCCCAATTAGGTTGTTACATAGAGTTTTAAGAGTTTCATTAAGCAAGAAGAGCAGGATATGTTTCCCTGATACTGCCCCCTCCTCAGCAGTCCAAGCTGGTATCAAAAAAAAAAAAAAAAAAGGCATAGGCCTTTAGAATAAATCACATCTAACATTTAAGAATTTCCCATGGTACGTGGCTCTAGCAAGCAACAACAATGAACAAAATGGGAGAATGATTAGGCTTTCATCATTATAGCAAGTTCCAATGTTTCCTGTAGTAACCTCTTTCAGCATTTAAAGAGCTAATTATTGAACTGAGACTGTATTTAACATACAATATATGAATTTTCATTTCCAAGGGAAAATTACATAAGTTTATGGTCTACCTATGCCACGTCTTCACCTGCAAGTGTTTTTACACGCAGATTTGTAGCCACTATGCAAAGGGTAGCTTAAGGGTGGGAGTGAAGTTGCTTGGGAATACCTGTAACAGGCTAAAGCCACTGACCTCCACCAGATTCTTAAGAATTCCTATAGCAAGAATAACAGATACTGCAAAATTGTTGGCATTAGAACAGGAGAAAGAAATTCCTGTAGATGAAAAATAAAGGGAAAGCTTATCTAGCAGGCTATTAACAGTTGTTCTTTGAAAGAGACAAACTCCTTCCTGTTTTGTGTTCTAAGCAAACAGCTTTCCAGCTGTGGGAGAAAGGTGCCAAACTGGCCTCTTGGATACAATTATTGCACTACACATAAGAAATCATTAAAAGGTACCTCCTCTAATGTATTATTTATGCAGGCAAGAAGGTGCCATGCAAAGAAAAATTCATACTACTTTTTTATGCAGGAGCTTGAAAACTGAAAGCACTCAGCAGGCTTTTTTGCAGTAGGTAGGTAGCATGCAACCAATTTAATTCTGCTACTAACATCATGCTGTTCTCTCTCCCCTCCACAGAGCCAATCCAGACTGCAGCACTGTGCCTTCTGGTAACAAAATCACACACAGGAAACTTGCTGGTGAGTACTCCCATGCTTAGCTGACTGCAGTTTAACTAATTGATCAAAAGGATTAAGAGTTAGTGTGTTTAAAAAGAAAACCCAGAAGCAACACTTACACAGCACCCTCATACCTTCCCTCTGCTCAGAGTGTCACTGGCTAGTCTGCACCAATCTGCAGTTCAGGCTGTGCCAGACAGATCTGACTGTCAAATTTACCATTTAATTAAGCATTGAAGGGGTGACCATTTTTTAAAATAGCAAGGAAAAGAGTGGAGTTCAGAGGCTAAAAGATAACACAGTACTTTGTTACATCAAGACCTTCACACTATCTGCAAGTTAAGTAAACCAGATGCTTTGGCACAGCTCCGTGAAGTACAGAGACATACACTGGATGCAGGGAGAAGGGGAAGAGGTGGTGTTTTTACTGAACGAAGTTAATAACAGGATCCTGCACTAACAAGATGATCTAAAACTGCAAGAAATGCACTTATGCTGACATTACTTAAGAGCAGTGAAGAAAAGGGCCCCTCACAAGAAACCCTGTATGGATTACACTCCAGAGACTCACTCCAAAATGACACTCAAGACAAAGGCAAGGGAAATGTTGCATGTCAGAATAGAATGAAACAAACAGTGGTGGTAAACAGCATTTCCTCATTAAGATTTTTAAATCGAGAGGAGCTAGGAGATAGCTGTGGAGGAGCATTCAACTAGAGGAAATCATTCATACATTTCTACCACTTAATGGCAAAGGACTGTTTGCTTCCAGCAGAAACAGGATCAGTTCTCCTCACCAGGCTGAAAGCAACTGCAGACAGTAATTTGGACTGCCTTTAAAACAATCAAGTTACAATTTTTAACCTTTTAAATTCACAAGCAACAAGTCCAGTAAAATTTGACTCTGCTCTGAGAAGCTATACAAGAGATAAATAAAAGGGAAATGCAGGCAGATTAGCAATTGTCATTAATTGCAGGAAATGAACATATCCTGGAAGGAAACAGCCCAACATAAGCACAAAAATGGGGGAGGAATAGCAAACAGACATCACTTATTTCTGGGACACTCAGACTGCCTTCTACAACAAAGTATTTCCTCAATTTTAAACAATAAGCAAACAAAAACCCCATCACTGACTTGTCACTCAGCTTTCCACTCTTGTGGAATATTCTGCGCTACTAAAGTGGAGAGAAGAGGTTTGGGCAGATGTTGCAGTAGTCCCACATCCATACAGAGAGATCTCTGATTTTTGACATCGAAGTCAGCTACCCAGAACAACTAGTACCTTTCCATTATCAGTAATGCAGGGCCATTGTAGAAGTCGCTAAGTACCAGAAAATACCAACAAATGCACACAGCATAAGACTCTTCTACTACAAACATACAGAGTATGCTCCAATTTTTATTCTCCTTCTCAGCTCAGTCAGGTTTAATACTCTGGCCTAATCCAGGGGAATATTTAACCTTTGTTTAAAGCCTAAGGATGCATGTAGCACTACTGAAATTTAGGCATTTTGTTCCACTAGGTCAGCACACTCAGTAACTAACACAATACAACCCTGCTAAGCTGAACACTACATGCCAATAATCACAGCACAGATATTTTACTAGTCAGACAATTCGGAGGCTATTAATTTCCTCAACATTGAGCTAGAGCCTTTGGGAAGTCACAAAGCATCACACCATCTTTCAGGCCTCTCTGAATGAGAAGTCAGGTATACCCCACACATTCAGTATCTGCTCTCATACAGAACATAACCCATGAGATACAGCACACAGCATCTGTCACAAAGGACATCAACTTTCAGTGAGGTTAAGAAGAATTGCCAAATCCAGCTGGGGGAATGGGAGGGATGGCATAACACTTTCTCCAGTTGTTAACATAAAACCTGGGCTGTTTCATGGTAGGCATATTTCTGTAGACAACTAAGGGTTCTGCCTAAATTATCTTTTGAGAGAAAAAAAAAAAAAAAGAACAAAAACCCAAACCAGAAGTGCTTTTAATGATCCTTCAGTTGTTTTCAGAAAATATTTGCTATTTAAAACAAATTATTTTAAACTCCCTCTGTTTATTTTCACCAGAGGCACACCCTGTTCCAGACTAAGACTCCTCAGCAAGTGTCTTAAACCAGAAAAGTCATTCAGGCTTGAGGGTACCTTTGCCTGAATCTTCTGTACTCCATTAACATGCTCATACACTAGTAATGCACTAACACACTAATACTCTAGTGGAGATGCCTCTATTGAAGCTTATTCTGTTCTATGCAATGGCTACAGGTGTCCCTAAAACTGGTCCATGCTCATAACACTTACTTCAGCACCTCACAACTACTTATCTTCCCAAAACTTTGTTGAAGGATCCTTTTGAGGAATTCCACAATGCTCTACAGTAAATTCTGACACTTCAGACATCAAAAAAGCAAACCTTGGCAAAAGAAAAAGATACATCACAGGAAGTGAACCAAAGGAGCTTTAAGGGACGTGATTATTTTTGCTTGATATACTTGCAGTCTGGATTCTCATGTAGTACTTCCTGCAAAAGGTCATCCTTACAAAACAAGCAGAATTAGGATTATTATTGTCCAAGCAGATGGAGTTGTAAAACTTCCTCAGAGCAGAAAAAGCAAAGTTCCTTTTTGGGGATTCTTTGAATTCAAACAATTGATGTCATTTCAGCGGGCCTAGGTTAGTACCCATATACAAAGAACAAGTTTTTGCGATTTAGAGTCAGATGCATCCAAAAGCAGGCTGAAAAATGAAAGTTGATTAAAAAGGTAGTGGGCACACAAAAACAAATAAATAATCAAAGCTTCCTCACACCCTTCTTTTAACACCCTGCCAAGTCGATTCTCAGTTATTCTTCCCTACCAAAGGGAATGTGAGAAGCTAACGAGCAGCTCACTGGTACCTGTTTCCCGTGCAGGTTCAGCGAACAGCCGCCGGGCTATTCTGCAATATTATTGCAGGACATTTTGCTGGTTTTCTACTCCACGAGTAAACGATACACGTAACTTCCAGAAAACCCACTACAAGCCCCACTATAGCTATTTATTCAGCTCCTCTGCAGTCTGCCAAGGAGCAGGATCCCACCTCTTAACTCTAACTGTAGCATTTATCTGTTGGAAAAGCAACACTCTTTCTCCAGTTCCACAACACGCTGATTTTTAACGGGTCAGCAGCAGCATCCTCTTAGGGTTTAATGCAATCAGTCATCAGTGCCTTCACCAAGTTAACGCTACAGAGGAGTCGCAGACAGGTATTTTTAGGTAGCAGCTTTCACAGGTTTGGCTTTGAAAAGGTCTCGAGCAGAGCACAGGGAAGGGCTCAGTGCAAACTTGCCCCTCTGCGACGGGCCGAAGGGGAGCTACCGACCCCGAGCCCAGCCGGGGCCACTCCGGGCCCAGCTCCACGGGTCAGTGGGGCGAGAAGGGGGGGAGGAACAAAGCGGGATCCAACCTTCATCCTCAGAGCATGATGGATGTCTGTTGCCAGCTCCTCTTTCCACCACTCCTCCTCCTCCATCTTTTCATCCAGACAAAGGTCTGGACGAGAAACGGGACCGCTCTGCAGGGAGGGAAAACAAACCATACAAATCACCCGAAGCCCCGCGGCACCAACCGGCCCCGCTGGTTAAGCACTAACGACTGCTTAACCCTTTGATTTATGCACCACGTCCTGGGCGCCTTCCCAGCCACCCCCCCGGGGCCGCACCGGCGGTGGGGACACTCTCCCGGCGCTTCGGGAGCTGCCGCCGGGTGCACACCTCGCAAGGACAGCGGTGCTGCTAGGGGGTTCGTTGCCCTAACAACCGGCCGGTTGCTCCGCGCAAGGACCCGTTCTTCCGCCCCGGCGCCAGCGGCCGTTAGCGCCGGTGACACCTGCGCTGTCCCCCGCGGCACGGGACAAGACGGCGCGGACCAGGGAGCGTCAGGGCAGAGCAGAGGCGCTGCAGCAGTGACCTGGGTTTGGCGCTGTTGGCTGCACCGGAAAAGGCAGTGCACGCAAATCGGCCGGAGAAAATGGAATGTAAAGCTTGTCCCAGTAACGAAGACTCTGAATACTCAATAAATAACCTCAAAGTCAACAGAAGAGATTGACTTTTTCCTTGGTTTTCATTCCCAACACAAGATGCCCTGACTTAAGCTGCCAGAAATCTGTATAAACAGAAGGGATTGCTCATGTCTGAGCATGAGGTTTGGTAGGACTCCCTTTCAGGCCACAAATCAAGGTTTGCCCAGGTCTTACCGTGCCAGAAAACAGCTGTCCTGTGCAGACACTGAGCTGGGACTCAACTCACATTCCCCATGTAACCCACATCTCATGTCTTTGTTATGGGTCGCATCCCTGTTACATAGCAACACACAGCACAGGCTACAGCAGGACCCTGCTGTGATGCCACAACAACTGGAGATGGGTGGGTCACCATCAGAGCTTAGCCTGGCTAAAGCTTCCAGATTGGGCATCAGTCACTGTGCTGCCCTGGGAGCTCAAGGACGCTCATCCATTTCAAGTTTTAAACCGAAGAGCCCAATAAACCACTAGGCACTATGGTTCCCAGCCCTCTGAGGAACATCTGTATGGTTCAGTGGATACTGCAGCAGACTAAACTGAAATACTCCAACAAGTCATTCTCAGCACTCTGCTTAGCAATTCCAGGTGCCAAAACAATCACCACAGAACCTGCTTTATACCCAAATCTCACTACTGACCCAGGAAGGATGAAAAATGTTCACAACAAATGTTGGCAGGCCTAGCAACAGCTTTCCCGTTTAAAGAGCTAATT